TTCACTGAAATCTCACCTCTCAATTAATATCCTGTCATTTAAGGTGATTTTACTGCCTCTACACCGTTGAACCATCCTGCTGGAGGGTCATCCAAACTGGATTCAGTCAGACAATGCCTTAGCAGTGTCAGCAACCATCAGGGAGGAACCAGCCTTGCAGCAGCAAAAGAGGTAGATTTAATTTTTTTTTCCTGGGCAGAACTTTTCAGGCACAGACACTTGGCACAGCTGGCAATGTCTGGACCCAGGGGAGGGGTCTTTATACCAAGAGGTTTCCTCTGCCTCCAGGTTCAACAATGAACTGGACAGGTTTGTCTCCAAGTACAGGGATCCTCTAACAGAAGCAGTGGATGCTCTGGTGGTTCCATGGGATCATTAGACTGTGATCTATGCCTTTTTTTTTAAAGATTTTTGTCTGCTTTACAGGAGAGAGATGGGAGGGCATTCTGGTGATTCTCAGGACTTTAACCTTTAGAAGTTTCTCTGTAGGATACATTTTCTCCTTCCTCCAGCTGGGTCTGGACCAGCATTCAGCTCTCGGCACTAAGGTCAAGTTTCTGCCTTTTCTCTCGTTTCAAAGAGCATTACCTCTTAGTCCTTTTATGAATATCTTTGTGCAGATTGCCCTGTTTATTCTCATGTGACTCCAGGGGACCTGAATCTGGTTCGCTGTGTGCTTCAGAAACTGTCTTTTGAACCTGTTAGAGACATTCACTCTCTCTCACTCACAAGGTGATATTCCTTGTAGCCATCCTCTCTACAAGGTGAGTATCAGAACTGGCAGCTCAGGGAAACCTTTTTGTTTTTGCATAAGGACAGGGGTGGGTTCAGGACCAGGACTTCCTTCTTGCCCAAGGTAGTTTCTGCCTTTCACCTCAACCAGGCCATCATTATTCTGTCTCTGTCCAGCTGTAATTCACCAAAAGGAAATTTTCCCGTTGTCTGGATGTGGTTTCAGAAAGACCGGTTTCTTTTTTTTGTCATCCCCGATGGTCCCTGTGAGGATGTGGCAGCTTCTCATTCCACCATCTCTCTAGGCGGCTTAGACAGAGAATCATCCAAGCTTATGGTCTCAAGGATTGGGTTTCACCCTCTCCTGTCAAGGCACACACTGCTAGATCTGGGAGTGCTTTTTGGCCATCAAGTTACTGTTTCCTAGATTTGTAAGACTGCCACCTGGTCCTCAATTCACAAGTTTTACCTAGTGGATGTTGAGTCTTCATCTGATGTCAGCTTCATGCTTCAATAAATCATTAAAGTAAATTTCCACTTTTGCAGTCAAGTTTGGAGAGAAAAAAAAACCCACCTCTGTATGTTTCCCATTCACACCACATAAAGTATTTTGTGTTTTTTTTATTACCGTATTTTTCGCTCCATAAGACGCACTTTTTTCCCCCAAAAGGAGGGGGAAAAAGTGCCTGCGTCTTATGGAGCGAATCCCGACGCCCAAGACATGCAGTTTCGGGCACCGGGCGAGTAGTAGGAGCCACTGCTCGTTTAATACGAGTGATCTAACGAGATCACTCGTATTAAAGCTGAGCAGCGGCGATCGAGTTCCGCAGCAGGAGCCACTGCTCGTTTAATACGAGTGATCTAATGAGATCACTCGTATTAAAACCGAGCAGCGGCGACGATCGAGATAACCATAGAGCAGACGAAGAATAGACGTTCTTCGTCTGCTCTGTGTGATCAGAGACCGTGGCGCTGTAATCACAGCGCCACCTGTCTCAGCGGTCACTAACTGCAGCTTCTGTCATAGAAGCTGTGACAGAAGCTACAGTCTGTCGAGTGCTCCATAAGGCGCGCCGGACCTCCCTGCGTCCTATGGTCCGGTGCGTCTTATGGACCGCAAAATACGGTATATATCTCTTCCCTTTTAATGTTTTTTTGCGTAAGACAATACAGAATCCAGGTTTTTCTGAGCACCTTCACAGTAATCTGTGCTTATAGAAAGACTTAACCCGCATCTAACGGCTGTGATCACTATTGGCACCATGGTATGGTATATCTTTCCATTCTTACTGCCATTCTTCATATTCTATGTCCGCATGCTCTGGTTTATTTTTTGCTGAAGGTATTAATAAGCTCTTATTTTTATTTTGCTACTGTTTTATATACATTACTTTTGAATTGAATTGTTTCTGGCAGGATTATGATATCATTATGACGTAAGGGGGCGGCAGCTGTTTGTCCACAATTTGCACTGCTGGTATTTCTGTATAAGATCTGTGAGTTGTAAGCTGCATAGTCATTCAAAGCCTGACGAGGGAGGAGAGACTAAAGATTGAAGAATGAACTTAAAGGGTTATTAAACCCTCTGGTGTTTTTGCATATATCTACTACTAGCAAGCAGTAGTAATATGCAAAAAGTGTAATGCTGCAAAGCATCTTGGGGCGCGCATGTGCGCTTCACATTTTCGGCCAGGAGACGAGGAGAGACCCGCATGCAGACACCATGGGACAGGAACTGCCAGCTAGGACAGAGGAGTCAGCGCGGGATCGGTGACTCGCAGCAGCGCTGGAGGGACAGATGAAAACGTCAGGAAAGAAGAATATCGGATTAAGAAACATAATTTAAGGTAAGTGCTTTAAATTACCATTGGCGGGGGAGGGAAAAATATCTTTGACTTTAATGTCACTTTAACAATCAGCGGTTTGTGATTGCCCAGTTCTCAATCTATAGAGGCAATGTGTGGGAGCTGCAGTGTCACACGCTGGCTATAACTATGGGTATGAGCGCATTTTCACTCTCCCCATAGTTCTCCTTTTAACATAGAATGCACAAGCCAACCTTTTAATCCATTGCTAGGACAGACAGTGTTCAAATCTACTTTACAAATTATAATGAAAAGTACCAGTACAGTACTGATGGGGTTTAAAAAAAAAACAACCAGTAAATTAATTCAACCCTTAAGAAGCCAAGAAACCCTAACCCAAGTAAAAGCAATTTAAACTGTAAGAAGCATTACATTTTTTTTAAATCTTATTACTATGTGAATGGGAACGAGTAACAAATCTAAAATAAGTGTCGTGTTATAACAGATTGGCTAGAAATGCACTTTTAACATAACTCTTCAAGCTATGGGCATTTCTTTTTTGTTGTTTTTCTTTCCAGACCCTTCAGTAAAATTGCTTTTGAACATCCCACAGCGGAATGCCTTCTTGTGTCTAATAGATGAGAAAGAAAATAGAACTTTTGTGCTCACTGTAAAATCCTTTTCTTGGATCCCATTGAGGGACACATGTTACACCTTTCTGTTTTTATTATCACCCTCTCAGTACCGGTTTGCTTCAAAATTGAGGCATGTTGGAAGTAGGAGGGGTTACCGTGGGCTGCCACACTTTTCTTCCGTTTTGCCAGTCTTCATGTAGGTGGTAGACTAGAATTTAAAGGCGAGTACAAAAATCTATTTTTTAGTTCATTGAGGGACACAGATTCCTTGCCTCAAGTTTCATCATCCTTATTGTCTTACTACTTCCTATAAACTGAAGCATGCTAAATATAGGAAGGGTTATAGAGGCTGGCTCACAATTTTGTTGTCTAGTGTCCAAGTGCACCTGGGGGGAGAGAGCTATATATACCAATGGTTACTAAATCAGTTCCTCTGTCCTGCAGTATACTGAGGGATTTTAATAAAAGCTACAAAATTACGTTATATGCTTATGAGATTTTAGTGTTTCTTTAAATGAGGAACTGAATTCAGCAAGATGTGCTCCCACAAAAAAAGAAGACAGAAGGCAAAGAACTAGTCACAGGTATTGCATGTGTCTTCCTGCAGCTTATCTTTCCGCATTACTTGCTGTGCAGAGCAAGGCATGGTAAGTGTCTGTGTGGAAGCAACCATCTTGATAGAGTTAGGACTTTGTTTCCTCATGTCTGAGCCACCAACATAAACAAAGCAACACATAAGTTACATCACTAAATCTTACTCCAAATACTCACACTAGCTCATATTTCATACTAAGGCCACGAAGTTATGAGTCTGTAGGCACAGGAATGCCTAGACCCATACACTACTATGAAGTTAACAAAAGGTAAAATTTTCAGGGTACTGCTTGGACATCACTGACTTTTCTATGTGTTCCATTTAACATAGCAAATCTTCACATCCACTTTAGGTGACTTAAAAGTTCTAGAGCATTAATGGACAGTCAACCCAGAAAGCCTGCACCAGTGCATTTCATTGTTGTAACTTTGTTTCATAGGATCAGGAAACCCTAAAATCAAATTCTGTCTTTACCTCTACTTTGTCAGTTTAAAAGTAAGGTGTAAATACAAGTCAGACATGTTTGAAAGAAGGCATGCAGGTACAGCAAAATAAATCCTCATGTTTTGGTCTACAAAGCATAACCTAAAGTCGTCCACAATGCTGCCCCTGGCTACATCACTAGCCTGATCTCAAATTATCCTATCGGTCTACTCTGCTCCTCCAAGAACTCCTGCTCTTTCGCACCTTGATTTCTTCAGAGTCTTTTCCCTCCTCTGGAACACCCCAATCTGTCCAGTTATCTTCTACTCTGTCTGCCTTTAGGTAATCCCTGAAAAATCATTGAAGAAAAGCCTGTCGCACCCTCCTCCTAGGAACTGCACTTCTACTTTCTCCATTAAAATATTCCTCACAGTTAACTTTTGTATCACTTGCCCCTTTTAGATTGTAAGCTCTTACAAGCAGGGTCTTCCTAATCCTCGTGTATTAACTTGTATTGTAATGTCTTCCTTTATTTTAATAAAGTGCTGTGCATATACTGTTGGCGCCATATAAATCCTGTATAATAATAAACATTTGTATTTATTCACCATAGAACATTAATAGTGAATTGTACACAAAGATTGAAGTTGCCATATTAATTGCTTTGCCAGGAAAATGCCATCATTTCAGGGCTAGCAAGACTTGATTTGTTACTTAAAGTCTTTTGCATGATGCATCTGTGGTTAGCAAGTCTTCTAAAGTGGCTGTATTGTCTTTGTTTTAAAGCATTTGTTTTTTTCACCAAGGCGTCTCCAGTCCTAATCAAGGAGGTCAAGCTTCCACTGTGTGGTTTTACAAAGTGTAGGAGCTATAGCCAGTTTAGAATCTGAAAGAAAACCAGACAGATCAGTTAATAAGCAATAACGTGATCAAGCACAATTTGCTACAAAACAAACAGTCCTTTGTCTCCAGGGCAAAAACCAAATCATCATTAATATATTGCCTAAGGATAAGGTAACACACTGAAAGTCAAGACGCTGCAATGGAGGCAATGTGAATGTTAACAAATGCATAAAACTTAGAGTGGTCCAAGGGTAGCATGACATTTTATCAAAATAGCTTTAAGCTACTAAGAACAACTTGAAAAAAAAAAAACTCTTACCTTGCTCTGTTGATTTTATGTTTTTCTGTTGCTGATATGAATTCATTATACTATTGGCAGTTGAATGAGGACCTAAGACCTGTAAAAAAAATGTTTAGTTATTGGTTATGTTGTGAAGCTGTCTGCTGCTGTCTGTCTACTAAACACATTCCATCACAAAACACAGTTCACCTCTTCATGTGATACTGCTTTGTCAGATGACTGAAGTCCTAAAGCTGGTGCCCCTCTACACTTGCCTCACTTGTTAGGAACATGGCACAATTGAGCGACCACATTAACCGCCTCCCGGCCAGCCGTTGTAAGAAAGAAACGGCTGGTCGGGAGTACCCTGGATCTGAGCGGGCGTTTTTAAACGTCCGCTCAGCCACGCGCGAGCAGGGAAGTGCCAATATTTAAAAACAGGCAGCGATGCCTGTTAACATACAAGCGATCCGCCGGCTATAGAGCCGGCGGATTGTTTGTATAAGCTGGCGGTCCTTGTGTCGTCGCCCCCCCTCCCACTGGTCCCGAGCTCCACTGTGTCCGTTGCGAGCCTAAGACCAGCATAGTGGCTCTGTGACGGGATCAGAGGGAGATCAGTACACGATCTCCCTCCGGTCCCCTCTCCGTGTCAGAATGCGGAAGTGATGTATATTCTTGTGTCGCTCTCCAGCTTCAGACGCTGGAGAGAAGCTGATGAAGCAGATCTCTACTTCATCAGCTTCTTTGGGGGTCCCTAGGTTACATTAGGGGTCTTGGAGACCCCTGATATCTCCATAAAGAGGACCTGTCACATTCTCTTTGCCATCACATAGGGGGTTTCTTATCCCCTTAAGTGATGACAATAACGTTAAGGGGGAAAAAAATGAAAGTTGCAAAAAAAATATTTGCGTCGGGTGCGCATATGTGTGGAAACGACGATTGCGCCCATTACGCCACACATGTTGCATATAGTCACGAACGTCGAAGTGAGCGCAATAATTCCAGGGCCATCAGTCACTGATAACACTAAACTGATGAGCTGATGAGCTGTAAAAGCTTTTAAAGCTTTGCCTATAGTCAATTCTGGGTAGTGTAGTTTTTTGTGGGTGCGCACAATTTTAAAGGCTTGACACATTTGGTGTCTATTTACCCGACGTGACCCCGTCTTTTATATTTTACCAAAAAATTGGGTAATTGTTTCCTAACATAATGAAGAAAAAAAAACTTTTTTTTTTACATTTTCACTAATTTTTCCTTACTCTAGTAAAAAATAAAACCCCCAGTGGTGATTAAATAGCACCAAAAGAAAGCTCTATCTGTTCCCCAAAAAATGGTATAACATTTATTTCAGGACAGCGTTGCATGACAGAATAAATGTCAAAGTACCGCAGCGCTCAATACTGAAAAATGGCCTGGACAGGAAAGGGGTCTAAACACCTGGTCAGCAAGTGGTTAAGAATACCATGCATGTAAACGCGTACATTCTGTGATCCTGCGTACAAAAGGAGGCAAATTACTCTTTTTGAGCCCTACATGCCAGATACACTGTAAGGGGGGACAGACCCTGAAGCATTTGGTTAATTATAACTCTTCTACACACCTAGGGTTCCTTGCCTATAGTGTATCATATGATCTGGCCACACAACCCAAAGGTTGCATTCAAACTACAGCCATACCTCTTGTCTGTAGGGTTCATGAGGGACAAAAATGTGCAAGACAAGGACTGTATACTTGCTTTCTGAGAACTGATTAAGATAAAACTGATTTAGAAACTCAAGCCCTACATAAGCAGAAAACTTACCGGAGTTGCTGCATTTGACTGGCCCTGTGGAATCCATATTTCAGGAATTGATATCTCTATCAAATGCAGGAATTTGTGATATTCCGTTTGAAGTTGTCTGGCTTCAGTATCATAACCAAAGAGCACAAGCACTTTCAGAAGACTGTTCACTTCAGCTACAAAAAACAAAAATATTACCCAATAAAGTGCAACACCAGCCAAATAAATACAAATTTACCACTTTTCTCAAGCTAAAAACTGCAAGCCTGGCAGATCAAGTTGAGTTAAAAAAAAAATTAAAGTTTAATAAAGGAAATTAAATATCTTTTAAAGCCTCCTCACCCACGTATAGGCACATTCAAATGCAAGAGCGCATATGTAGAAAAATTATTACATGACATATACTAGATATCACCACTCACGACAGAGGATCACTATTCACATATACCTCTAAATTGAGAAAGCATCTCCTATGGACAATATTGGCTACCGCTGTTTTTTTGCAGCTTCGCAAGGCAGCAAGTTGCTACATATACAGTGGGGCAAAAAAGTATTTAGTCAGCCACCAATTGTGCAAGTTCTCCCACTTAAAAAGATGAGAGAGGCCTGTAATTGGCATCATAGGTAGACCTCAACTATGAGAGACAAAATGAGAAAACAAATCCAGACAAATCACATTGACTGATTTGGAACAAATTTATTTGCAAATTATGGTGGTTGGCTCCTGTCTAAGTTGGCCCTCTATGTATGCATGTAATATAGGGACCTTAGATTGTAAGCTCCTTGAGGGTAGGGACTGATGTGAATGTGCAACTATGTAAAGTGCTGCGTAAATTGTTGGTGCTATATAAATACCTGTAATAAATATATAAACCCCACATTTTTTTTGTGCCATTTGCTCTAAACTCAATTGCTCCTACTCTGCGCTCAATGTTTCTTTCAATACTATAGTCTTATATAGTGAACTCCTGGTTGATCCTGTCATTTCCCTATACTTTCTTATTCAGAGTGGCAACACTATTGCAGCTGATCCTCCTGCCATGCTTTATTTTTTCCCTGGGAGAAAGCAGTGTTCTGTCTGAGCCTGAGCACTATGAAAGAACACATTCCCGGCATCCCTTTAGATGTGCATGTTCCTCCCTGCTGGCCACTGGATGATGCAGATTGCACAATTGAAGTCTGCACCACTCCCAGAGGCCAGCAGAGAAGAGCATGCATATCTAATGGAATGCCTGGAATGAGTTCTTTTATATAATGTTCAGGCTTAGAGCTTCATCACATGCTGAAACTAATCTCTGCCCTCGGACAATGAGGCATGGAGGTACATGGGCTACATCATGTGAGCACAAAATAAAAAAAGGCAAAAAAAAGGTATTTGAGCTTAGTAAAATAATGCAATTTAGGGCCAGTTATTATTAGGGTCTTATTTAATGCTTATATGCACTATGAGGTTCTATACATGAGAACTTTTATACAGTTTTCATGTATAAAAGCTGCATTTTATTATGTGTGCGCAAAATCGTAAAAATGAATAGCGGGGAAGGATTACAGCCTCTGTACAGTTTTTATTGCCAACTTTGTCCTCATTAGGGAGATTTCCCCTCACTTTCTGTTAGGACTGGAAGTGATTTGAAATCTCTCCAACAGGGACACACATTTTTAGAAGGGCAAGAACTCCTGGCAATCTTTTTATTGCCGTGCGTCCAGGTGACAACCACACCCTTGTATAGGTATTGTATTGTATTTCTTGCAAAGGTGTCCCAGAGGAAGAAGGTAAGGGAAAATCTCCCCAATGGGATCTCAGAAAAAGATGCCCGACAGAAATTTGACATCTACACCACTTTAGCCAAAACTAAAAACAAAACAAAACTCTGAAAATGCAGAAATCCCTTTAAGACAGCATTTCAGTAAGGTTATCAAAGCCCATGGAAACAATGCCGATGGTGCTGCAGATCAGATCACGGGTACTGAAGCCGAGCCATTAATATAAATTGTAAAGTGAATTACTGTATAGAAAGCCAATTACAAAAAGGGAGGGATGTGAAGCTTTTCTGTATTATTGATCTACCTTAATTGCCTAAGCAAATGTCTAATGATGTCATTTGAAACAAAAGAATACGGTTGCGCACACTTACTTCTCATTTTATCCACTGTGCGGACAATTTCTCCCATTGCCTCCACTAAAGCCACATCTTCTAGGGGACTTCCCTCTTTTAGACTGTGCTTCTTGCGCTCTGCTTTTCGACGGTTCTTTGAGGTTCTTCTGCATGTAAAACAAATAAGTCTTAAGTCACAACAACTCAGCAATGAGTAAAATTATCCTTATGCCCATCCTAAACAGCCACTTACGAGGAGACTCTGGAATTACTTTGAGAATATTTTCCACTCATGTCACTTGTAGTCATGATGCTGCTGGTGTCAGAAAACAGATCTGATTCTGGACCTCCAGGGATCTCATCATCTAAGTAATGCAGGAGAAGTAAAACAATTGTACCGATGATGAATGTGTCAATCTTATTATATCTCATAACCATGTCCAATCTCATAACCATAGAAACAAAAGAAAAGATGGGGAAAAAACAGCCTGGAGCTTTTCAAGTGCCACAAAAAAGTACCATTACCAAATTGCTGATAAAAAAAACAACATATTTTCCTTATAGCAAAGCTAAAACATAATTTAAGAACGTTATGGCCCTGGTAAGCAAATATGGAACAAACATATACATATCTTTAGCCAGATATCACAGGCTCAGACAGACAGCAAGTTTTCATTAGGTTCGATGCATTTCACGTAGAGTTGCTTCCTTAGGAACCTTTCATGAAAATCCCAAGTTGCTATGTGTCCATGAACATGGCCAAAAGTGAGCTCCAGGTGAGGATTGAAGAAAAAAAAAAAAAAGACAGTTTCCCCCCTATGGGGGCTTTCCAGGTAGACAAAGGATAGGCTCAATGTAAGCTGCAGTCAAACTGCATCACTAAGGTCCAAAAACTGGAGGGGAGGTGATAATGAGGCTATAAAACCCAAGGCTGGCCATACACTGATCATTCCTTCTCGTTCAGCCCATGGGCTATTGTATTCCGACAGCGGTGAGAGAATTCTCAGACCAGCTATTATACGAGCTATTCTATTCCGACAGCGGCGGAAAGAGGGCCACACACTGATCAAATTTC